CCTGCGGAGAATTTCTATGTAAAATATGCTGCTCTGAGGCCCCCACGGTATCTTTTAAGAAGCTGTTCTACAGAATCAGGGTAAACGTTTAACATTGTCATAACCTATAGAGTTCTCTGTATCTAAGTGATTTGTCGATGCTGATAAACCGTAATATCAAAAATGTGCCAAAAGGCACTAAATTAATCTTTCACACTTTAAAACAACAACGACAACAACAAAAAAAGGTTTTGTGGTCCCTGTGTTTCCTTACATTATCAAAAATATCATTTGGCAATAGCAATACTTAGCTTTCTCCTCCCAAAAGGCAGCCCTAATTATGAACCTCACTTTCTTGCTTGTTTCTTTAAGAGGAACAAAGACTGGCTATGTTAGGCCTCAAGTATTTAAACTGAACAACTGATTACATCTCTAAAAACTCTTTCTATCCAGAATCTAAAAAACAGTAGTTGAAGAATAAGGCATATTAGCAGGTGTTGACAACTTCTCAAAAAGTAGAGTTAGGCTTTTAACAGTCTGTGGCATTTCTAAAAGTCTGGATTTGTTGACTTTCAAGTGCTAAATACACAAAATGTTTATGAATGAGACAAATATCTTACTGGTTTGTTAACGTTATTTTTTCAAAGCACTTATTTACAGACTATCTACAGTAGTAAAAACTGCCTCGATAACGTATTTCTTTTGCCACACAGAAGGGGTCAGTCACACCCGGAGAGCATTTCCAAGACATCTGATTAAGAAAAAACAGTCACACTCCCTGTAACTGCCCCCCACCCCAAACCTTTTCTAACGTAGACAGCCCTGCGCATGCTCTGATCTGTGCAACTATGGAGAGACCAGATATCCTTAATACAGAAAGCAAAACCACCTATTGGGTGGGTTGATGAAAAATCAGGTTCCTGGTTTATTCACTGAATTAACAAACCACAAAGAGGCGAACAACTCCCGACACACCCAGCTCAATCTGTAGGTCTGGCCCCGGGGGGATGACAGGTAAATTTGAGGGAAATGTCATCTGAATAGAGAAAACACAGTAAGTGAGAGGGCGTGTTCAATCTGGTGGCACATGGAGGATTTTTTAAAGTGAGAAGGTACACCCAAATTCCCAAAACAATTTTGCAGACAGAGATGGCCAAAGCAGTGTTACCCCAGCCTTAGGATGAGATTACCCAGTTTCCACAGACCTTGAAAGTAGGTGTCTGGGAAGGTGGGGGCCAGGACTGGTGTGCCTTACTCTGACAACAGGCAGACCTGTGTTGGGTCTTGGGATGGGTTAAAACTGGGCTCTACTCTGGCTGCGCTAAAGGGCCGTTTCTGCTCAGAAGACAGGCTGCTCTGGCCCTGGCTCTCCCTCCACTCTCACCAGCTCAGGACACAGGGCAGAGGATGACTCTTGTGTGGCCCAACGAATGGCATCAAAACAGAGCCAGGTGCCCGTGATTTCAATGCTATCAACAGCAGGGCCAGGTCACGCAACCTCTGGGTGCCTCTTGGGCTGATACCGTCCCAAGGGAAAGTCCATGTGCACACTGCCACACGGCATCGTGCCCTTCTCTAAACAGAACAGCCCATCGTCCCAACACAAATGGCAGCCTCACAGGAAACGAGCAGCAGGTGTGCATTTAATTCCCTCGTGTGGACAGCCACTGAGAAAACACATTCAAGTCAGTAACATGAAGGACACACTCTGGGTGTGGCTGAAATTTGGCATGAAGACAAACTTAGGTTACATCCACCACCATCCCCAGAGTCGTGCTGGTTTTTGTTATTTCAGCTAAAGAAAGGTGTGTGGTGGGTTCAATGAGCAGCACGGTGAAATACGAGCCCGTCACGTCCATAATCACACTTTTCTGAGGTCACCCAGGAATGATCATTAAGTCTTAAAAAATGATAAAATCCAACCCCAAACCTGGCTCGAGCAGGGGCAGTGGTTCCTTGCTTTGAGCAGAGCAGCCTAGAGTCTTCTTGGAGATCCAATATGTGGTAAGGACGAGCAGTGTCCGTATCTGCTGCAAATCGCAACTGCTCTCTTCAACCTCACCTGCATCTTTAAGATCTGCTCAGTTTCTAGGAATTCTCTCTTCTGCCCTAGCCTGGATTTCTGACCCAGGTGAACTGAACCTTTCACTTCCCCGGCCCAGGGACAGCTGACAGGGATGACTTTCCACTCCACTGCCACGTGCCCAAGTCTCAACCTGTCCACGTGTGTCTGCCTGAGGTAAGACACATCCTCAAGCAAAAACCTCTTGGAAAATAAATACAAGAGAGGAGTCAGTGATCTCAGCACCCTGACTTTTGTGGAGCCAAGAAGGATGGGGTGATGAAGCCTCTACGAGGCAGTCTTTGGCACAGAAGTCTCTGGGTTACACTTCTCACAGGGAATCACCTTCGTGCTGATGGAGATGGAGAGGTGAATGCTTGGGGCTGCTGACCCTCGGGGGCCCGAGGGAGCCGCGGGGGTGGGAAGGGCTGGAGGGCCTCCTCCGCTGCCTACTGTCCCTTGCCTTCTGCGCCAGCCTCCTCACCTCATCAGATGCCAGCCAGAAGTAAGGGACAAAGGTCCCTTTCCTGGAAAGACCATTTCTCCAAGGAAGGCTGCAAGATACCCTGGTCCTCCAAGCTCTGCTATCAATGGCACGCTGGAGGTCGGTTTGCCTTGTTCCGGCTCTCTCTGGAGCCTTAAAGCACAGGCACATCACAGGGAGACCAAACAAACAGAGAAAGATAAAAGCTCAAGATGCCTGCATCCCTTCAGAACCAGTCTTCTGCCTCCAATAATGTAAGGGGATGACTCTGTACCCCAACCCCTTCCCCATGTATCCTAGCAAGGAACCTGATGGTTTTTTCTTTTTTTTTTTTGGTAGGGCTGCCTTCCTGCCCATCTAACCCTTCCACAGGAATGTGCCTGGGCTTTGGCAACTAGCAGCAGACTAGAGTCTAGTCTTCCTGTAACTCCTTCCACAGTTCTTTCCAAGCGTTTGTCACACTGGACAACATTTTTAAAGCATACGTTCCACCAGGCAAGAGTTCACATGTTCCCAAAGATGAGCATGCGCCTCTGGGTCAGTCTAGTGTTTTCTGCCAAATATCCATAGAAGGCCATCAACGCACTATCACATACATGCCCCGATTCTACCAGCAAGCTTTCAGGCTGGACCTGGACATCGACACCCACACCAACAGGATGGTTTAGAGGTAGAAGGAAACACTGACTCACCACTCGGGGTCTACGGACTGTTCTTACCCTTCTGCTTCAATGAATCATCTCTAATTGTACCAAACAGAAAATTCACATCAAAGGATTTTAGAATGGCACAAATGGGATCTAACAGTGTGCACAAGTACCAACTGATACACAAATTATCACTTAAACCGCGACTTTTTCAAACACGATGAAGCAGAACCAAACTGTCCTGGACTGTCCAACGGCTGCCCCACCAGCATCATAGCGTGGCTGCCCCAAGATCTGCAGCTAGAAGCAGAATGCAGTGACCTCAGCAGTCTGCACGTTGACCAGTATTTGCGGGTTCACTTGCAAACGCAGCAGTGTCTCAGCACAGCTGTTTCATTAAAAAAAATAATACTACCGCTTATTTGAGGCTCAGATTTGTCATTTTATAGAGATGAGCCACAGATGAGAGAACACAAACATGACACAGGTAGTTTTACTTCATGAGGGGAAAAAAACGAGCTGGAAGAGAGATCCTCTTTGTCTGTTTTGTGTTGAGACACTTGAAAAGGAAACCTGCTAATAGTTTGAAATGAAGACTTTAGATGCAGCCGTCCCCAGGAACGTGGCTGCAAACTGAGGAGGTTTCAGCTTAACCAGTAGCATAGAGTTCGCTGTCACACTTGGCATCTTCGAGGCTCACCTGGACACAGACTCTTCTTTCTGACTAGGAAAGAGTAAGGTTAAAGCACTTCACGTAGAGCATTCAGACTGAGTTTACAAATCTTGACTGTATCATAAGAATATGCCAGCCTCTCCCCAAAAGGTTGCCCAAACATTCAGCGGACACAGCAGGAGACATTAAACTAGGGGTTTTTGGTGAGGTAAAGGCAAACTGCACAAAGCAGACATGGGAGGTGGGGCTTGGTATATGCCCGCTGACCTCAACACCTCGGAGCTACTCCGACTTCAAGACAACAGATGACCCCTAACAGGCCTAACTCTCTACCCTGATGACATTTAACAAGCAAAAGAACATCGAAGAACGTCACAGAGAAAAATGCACCTTTTTTTCATTTCACACAAAACAGTTTCCAATCTACTACATTTTAGTGTCAGAAACAAGTTCGGGGAGCACTGCCCCCTCAGCTTCCCAAGGCATCGCATAAAGGACAAGGATGCTAGCTTGCTTGCTCTAGCATGGATGCACCTAGACACTGATTAAACGGTCCTACGCGAACCGGAAACCAAAACACAGGTGTCACTCATGACAGGCAGGCAGCAGGCCACACTCAGAGCTACACTGTACATTAAGGGCTTTCCACAGAGGCGCCGACACCTCCTCCTAGGCCAAGACGAGTCAAGGCCCATGGAGGTCAATTCCAGAGCCACTGTGCATCCACGGAAAGCAGGAGCTGCCTTCTGTTCATGCCTTCCTCACGGCCTTGCAAGGCAGGACCCGGGTTCTCTTCCATGGCAGGCAACTCTGCTGTCCCCAAAGAGGGGACTGTAACGAGATGTCAGAATGTCAGCTGAGGGCTGTCTTGTCCCTCAGTTTCAAATCCTCGTACTGTCCCACCGAACAGGTTCCTTCACACCACGGAGGTATGCTTCTGCTGAGAGATGATGACAGCCTTACAGACGCCACCAAGGAATAAATACTCATTGAAAACAACTGTCGGACAAAGGTCGGGGGAAGGGAAAGAAATACACAAAAGAGAGATGTTTCTGTGGTTGTTTTCTTGGTGCTACCTCTCTAGCACTGCAGGGACATTCCGGTGTGGGCGCCATGCCCGGCATAGGTAGGAGAGTCTCTGTCCCAAGGAGGAGCTTACTTGGCCTCTTGCTTCTCCTGCAGTAGTGGAATAATCGACTCCCAAGCCATGAGGCACTGGAACGACAACACACACACACAGAGCATCAGCATGGAGTTTCAGATTTCAGGGTCAGCGTCTTCATTCTGCTTTGATCTATACCCTCACACCGTCAATCCCGCTGGGTCACCTTTGTCTAACGACACCTACATGTATTATCCAGAGCTAGCAGAAAGAAGGGAGGCAAGAGGTGTTTGACTACATCTCCCCCGGCCCCCATCTCTATGAAAGACTGCAGCATCTCTATGAGGCCTAAATGCACTGTCCATAAAGCTCATATCAGTGAGTGGAAATGAATTCACTGAAAGAAAGTCCCTCCATTCCAAAAGCAGAAGAGAGGGCAGGGGAGGCTGCAAACCCTTGGTGAGGCCCTAGGTTCTCAGCCAGGATGAAGACACTGCTCCAGGTGTGGGTGGTGCCTGCAGGAGGATATAAATTATCTTGGAACGGGCCAGCCACCTGACTCAGAGGGGGCGGAAAGCCCGTTCTTCAGCCACCTCAGATCTGCTCGCATGGGCCACTCCTGGATCTCCCATAAAGGAAAATGGGGAGAGGGAACTCTGTTTACTGAGTTTTGTCGTGTCCAGACACTGTTATGTATTTTACATTCATTGCCACTAGTCCTCGGAACACCTCTAGGAAGCAGAATTATTATTATTTATTACACAAACACACATTTCACAGGTGGGGAAAATGAGACCCAGAGAGGTTAAAGAAAAAACTTTCCCAAGACACACAGCTCATGAGAGGCAGGGCTCGTGATTCCAAAGTGGATGCTCTTTCCATGACACACATACCTTTCATTCCAGACCCTTCAGAAGAGCCAAGAACCTGGAAGACGCTGGCCCTCTTCTCTGAGAGCTCAGCAGAAATGACCCCCACTTTGAGCAGTCTCTTGCGTAAAGAGGAGAGAGAACGACATAAGGCCCTTCCTAGGAGCAGCCCAAGGGTGAAGCAAGGCTTTGCGTTAAGTCGTCTGGGGAGGAGACCTGGGGATGGGGGAGGGGAGCTGCATCCCTAGATCAAGCCGGGTGAAGGGAGTGGTGAGATAGCTCCTTGCTTCCTTCCTTGGGGACTCTGAGGTTGGAAAAGAAGCTGGACTCAGACCCTGCCCTACAGAAGGAAGCCCAGGGGGGGGGGGGAAAAAAAAAAAAAAAAAAAAAGATCCAACTATATGCTGCCTATAGAAGATTCACCTCAGCTTCAAGGACATATATGGGGGGGAAAAAAAAAAAAGAAAGAAGGAAGCCCAGGGAGCCTCAAGGAGTTTGCTGTCAGCAAGAGACCCAGTGTGGGGTCTGTGGCATCCTGGGTCCTGTTCTCTCCCTCGGCCATCATCTCTGATCTGGAAGGTCCTTCTATGTCAATGATGGGAACCAAGGCCACACCAGCTTGCTTTTTCTTTCTTTTCTTTTTAGCGTTTTTAAAACGTATTTTATTATACAACCATTACATGGAAACGCGTTCATTGTAAAAAACTTCAAAAACTACCAAGGAAGCAAAAGGTCCCCCTTGACCACAGACCCAACTAAATACCAGCTTTCTTCACAAAGTTAACTACTGGACAAACACTCAAGCTTTTTCCCACCCCAGCACCCTCAAATACGCTGCTCCCTTTGCCTGGAATACTTGTTCTTTGTCTCCGAGACTCAGGTCAAATGTTACTTCCTCAGATCGGCCTTTCCTGCCCACTCTACTTGCCCCCTTCCATCCTGATCTGAATGATGCCGCCTAGTCTTTCCTCCCAGTTTCCTGTTCTTTTCTTGTAGGGCACGTATTTCCCTGAAGAGGTGGGATTCTTGGATTAACGTCTATCCTCCACTAGACAGGCAGCTCCTTAATGGCAGGAGTCCCGCCACTTTGTTTACCAATGTGCACCTGGTCCCTTGTACACAGACAGTACACAGAAAGCATTTGTTAAATATAAGTAGGAACCAAGACGAGGCCCCAAGACAGTGGCCCTGTTTGCAGTATAGCGGCAAGACGTGGATAAAGGCCCTGGGTTTGAGTCCTGGGACCCGGGCCTCGGGAACACTGGAATTAATCACCAAGAGGAGGAATGAACATCCAACTGAGTCAGCACTGGTGCAGCAGAGAGTGGGGCTAGAGTGAGCGCATGAGGGAAGGAAGCACCATTCACTGAGTATCCACCATCTGGCAGGCACATTAGAGGTTCTCAGGTATCATTTCATTATTTCTTCACCATCATTCAATGGATAAGGATCACTCCCATTTTGCAGATGAAGAAACAAAGGCACAGAGAGGCACCCTGTCTAAGAGCACAGTCAGTAGAGGAATGAGGCCTTGGCTGCACATGGAATGATATTTCCACCTTTGGGCAGTCAGGACTGTCCCCAAAGATCCGTGGTCTCTGTCCCCCTCACTGACCGTGTGTGGTAATTCTCAGACCTGTGGACCCGGAGAGCCAAGTCCGATCCTAGTTCAGTCATTCACAAGGTGAGTGACCTTGGGCAGAGCTTTAAAACCTTGCTGAGCTTCCATTTCTTCAGCTTTCAATGGAAAGCCCCTAAAACCCACTTCACAGTGTCATGGTGAGGGTTAAATTTAAATTTAATGAGATCACATATGCAGAGCATTCAGCCCAGTGCCAATGCAGACACACGGTGGGGGTCCCATGAGAAAGGTACTGAGGAAAGGCGTATGCCACCTTCCCCCTTCCCTATGAAACAGCCCTTACTAAGACCTGGCAAGTAAGGGCCATTCCATGACTTTCTTCCTTAACCCTCCTCCCAATCAAGATGCAGACACACTGCCTCTGCACAGCAGCCAGAACCAGCAAAGCTTTTGAAAAAGATGGATTCTTCTAGTTTGAGATGAGGACATGTTTCTAGAATTGTGATGGGAGTAGCTGAGTTAATTCTTGTTCAGCTTGATTTTAAGTCTACAGGTTACTTGTTGAATTACCATTGGGCCATTCTTCATCGATAACTTTAAGCTTTAAGGAATATGAGAATTCGTTAGCAGGAAT